GGAGTTTGAGAAGCCATTACAGAAGAAGGCTTTTAATGAAATTGGTTGAAAATAATGGTAATCTTAAACTAAACGTTCTTGGCGCCATCCTAATGATTAGTCACTCCTGCGATGAGGTGACGAGCACTACGATAAAATATTCCTTCACACACGCAGGATGGCTAAAAGATAAAGGATTGACAGGAAGAAGATAACCTGCCGTTTGCTGTTTGAGCTAGACAGTTTGAACTTGAAGTGGAAGCAGAGCCAGAATCAGCTTCGACCCCTCAGCAGCCATTACATGCGGCAAAAGTACTTAATCGGTTTTTCGTCCACCAAGAAGAAGATATGAGTGCTCTGGAAGATTCTAACCATCTTCAGGTCAAGGTCTGGTCAGTTCTATGAAAAAGAAAAAAGGAAATAGACTAAGGTGACAGACTTTTTCGTTAATATAGGCTAAATATAGGATGTTATCTTTTTTCATACCTTGATGAAAATACTGTACAGTTCCATAATATTTTATTATTGCACAGTATACATTTTTTAATTGTACAATCAGTTTTTTATACTATTGCTAATATAATGGTTAATAAATCTATGTTGTGTACAGTAAATACAGTGTTAATTCATTTATAATCCTTTTGGTAATTTTTTTAAATTACAATAGGTTATTTAGTACAGTATTATTATTATTACATTACCGATTTTTGCCTCTCTTTGTATAACGATCTCTCTTATAACGATGAAAATTCCCGGTTACTGGCATATCGTTATAGAGAGAGAGAGAGAGGATTGTGATCAGTTTTTACATGTTTTAGAAATAAATGTAGTTGTACAATCTATAAATATTATTTTCAATTTTACCTTTACGTAGTCTTTGAGGCCTTCTATTATCGACTCACATACCTCGGGAATTATTTTTAATTTGGACTGCTTTAAAATTCTACACATGTACTGCAAACTAGAATACAAATTCCCAGTGGCTAAAAAAATCAGTGTTATCGTAAGTCTTTCTTGCACTGAGATAGCTTCTCAAAAGTGTGTCGTCATTCTTCTTATTCGTAGTCAAATCAAGAAACATATTATGTAGTCGAAATTATTTTGGGACATTCAAGTACAATTTCGTATTGCTTATTTTACAGCCTCAAATTTAATGTATCGCATTATTAGTTGACGATTTCCACACGGACTCTTTTTTGATATATATCTTTTAGCCATCACTAATGTTTTCGTTTATTTTTATGTGTTTTGCTTTTGAAAATCTTGTGAATTAGAATAAAAGCAGCAACAGTACATTCATGATTAAATAAATTAACTACAGTGCTACTTGTACGGTTGTGCGAGATGGCGCGCGCACAAGTTGATTTAAAATAAAATCAAAAGGAGGCGAGTCAATTAACAAGTTTGCTCGCGAGCCAGGCCACGCGCAGCTTCGTCTTCTTCTAGTTCCATGACCGTTATCGATCGTTGGATATCATGTTGGCTACCATATTCGCTATCGTGACTTTATTGACAGCAGCTCTAAATAACGATGTAGTTGATTTTCCATACCATTGCCTTAGATTTTTCAGCCATGATGTTCTTTTTCTACCAGGACCACGATTACCTTGGATCTTTCCCTGAATGATCAGATGTAAAAGATCATATTTTTAAGGGTGTCTCATAATATGACCGAAGTATTCCAGCTTGCGTTTCTTTATTATATTGACCAGTTGTGTTGTTTGGTTCAGCCGTCTAAGGACCTCCTCATTTCTAACCGTTCGACCCAGTTAATGTCGACCCAGTCAATGTCGACCCAAAAGCGTTTAAGCATAGCCTCAGTTGGGGTCCACGCTTTTACTCCATACAGCAGGACAGGAAAGATGTAGCAAGATATCATACGAACTCTAAGGTCAATGCTAAGATTGACGCACAGCAGCCTCACTTAATGGATAAGCCGCTTTTTAATATAACAATAATCAAAGAAACTATAATCCCTCACTTAGGGAAAAGTTTTCGTTGTAGGTTTATAGTGCTATAATTAACAGAACTACAAATTGAAGGTAGGGTTTATTTTTAGGGAAGGGAATTTATGGTCACTCGTTGGATGGTACATGCTGAAAAAATGTAGAATGAAAAGAAGAAGATATTGTATCGTCCAAAATAAGCAAAACAATAAAATTAGAATATAGAACAAGGGAATGACAAAAGCTGATATTTAAGGAACAAATTTAATAGAGCAATTTTAAAAATCAATAACTGAAAAAGCAAAGCGCGAAATAGATCAGAATGGAGAAGAATTCTTAAGAAATTCAAATTCCATCAAGGGTTGTCGTGGCCAATGATGATGATGATTGTAATGCTGGTCCTCCGTTGGTCTGATCTTCTTCTTCATGTGACATCTAAGAAGGTTGGCAACATCATGGCAATTCGCACTTTTGATACCGCTGCTCTAAAGAGGTCAGCAGCAGTGCAGTTAGACCAAGCTCTCAAATTGTTTAACCAGTAGATGTGTCTTCTTTCGCGACTCCTTCTACCCTGTATTCTTCCTTGAATTATTAATTGCAACAAGTTATAATGCTTGTCCCTCATGACATATCCCAGGATATTGCAGTTTTCTGTCTTTAATTGTATTTAAAACCTCTTTGTCTTTTCCCATCCTTCTCAACACCTCGACATTCGTGACTATCCATCCAACTTATTCCTAATATCCTTCTGTAGGCCCATAACTCGAAGGCTTCTAATCTGTGCGAAACACGTAGCATCTCAGAAGTCTTAACTTTAAAGAAATTGAAATGTCCCTGCTGCAGAGTACTTTTTTCAGTTTGTTGAAAGAATTTGTTGCCTGTCCTATTCTTGTCTTAATCTCTTCTGTGTACTCATTATTTTCGTTAGTTATTGTACACAGATATTTATATTTTTCAACTTTTTCAAATTGTTCTACATGTATTGTTGTTTTCTTGGCACTGTTGGGCTTTTGTAATTACTATAAATTGTGTCTTTTTTGTGTTTAGGGACAGTCCGTTTACTTCACTGACTTCTACAACTCTAGCAACCATTTGCTGTAAGTCCTCAAGACATTCCGCTAATAAAATAGTGTCGTCGACAAATCGTATATTACTGATTGGTCGGCCATTTACTTTTATTCCCATAGTTAGCTCTTCTAGTGCTTCCTGGATTATTACCTCTGAATACAAATTGAAAAAAGTAGGAGACAGAACATAGCCTTACCTGACGCCCCTCTCAATCTGTATTTCATTTGAATAAAAAGGCATTGTTCTCTACCACAGCGATTTGATTATAATAGATAGCGCTAATAATCCTGATGTCTCTTATATATGATGCATATATGATATGATGCATTAGGATGCAAACCTGATATTTTAAATTTTTCAAAAACTTCCTGTATGTGCCCAAATCTCGTTTCTCTCTTCTTCCTTTGTCCTATCCGTTTGGGACGTTGGCTAATAACAAGGCTATTTTGACCTTTGTTTACGGCACCTCTGAACAGTTCGGTCGATGTTAGTCCGAACCATTGTCGCAGGTTATGCATCCATGAGTGTCTTCTTCCCGGTCCCCTCCTACTGTCGATTCTTTCTTAGACTATTAACTGTAGCAGCCGGTACTTAGTATGCCTCATGACATGTCCGAAGTACTTAAGCTTCTGTTTCTTTACGGTAAATATTATTTCTTTGCTTTTGCCTATTCTCTGCATTACTTCCACGTTAGTGATGTGGTCTGTCCAGGATATCCGAAGAATACGGCGATATATCGTCAGCTCAAAGGATTCTAGTTTCTTCAGGGTGGCTTCCGTTGTGGTCCATGCCTCTGCTCCATAGAACAAGACCGGGAAGACATAACACTTGACCAGTCTTAATTTTAGTTCCATTGAGATTTTGCTTGTGAACCACTTTTTCATATTGTTGAACGCGTTTCGCGCTTTTTCAATTCGTGATCTTATTTCTGTTGACTGGTCCCATTTTGTGTTGACTGTGGTTCCAAGGTATGTGTATGTCTCCACTTGTTCTATTTTTGCTAAATGCATGCTGATGAGCATGCATTTAGTTTTGGTTGTATTGAGTTCTAAACCATATTCTTGACTTGCTGTGTGTATGCTTTACATGAGTCTTTGAAGCTCGTTGCAGTCATTTGCGATAATAACTGTGTCTTCAGCATATCTAATATTATTGATTACCTCTTCGTTTACTTTGATCCCCTCCGAAATTTCTCCCAGTGCTTCTCTTAAGATTTTTTCAGAGTATATATTGAACAGGAGTGGCGAGAGGACGCATCCCTGTCGTACACCCTTTTTAATATCTATCTTTCCACTGTGTAAGTTGCCCATCTTTATCTTAGCACTTTGGTTCCAATAGAGACTGGTTATTATGCGCAGATCCTTGCCATCAATATGCATCTTCCTGATCATTTCCATGAGTTTATCATGTTTGACCTTATCAAAGGCCTTGGAGAAGTCGATGAAGCACAAGTGGATGTCCTTGTGCATGTCTCTGCATCTTTGAATTAATACTTGCAGACCGAATATCGCCTCTCTTGTGCCCAATGCGCTTTGGAATCCGAACTGTGACTCCGATATATTTGCTTCGCATTTGTTATATATTCTATTGTGTATGATTTTTGTGAAATCGTTTCTCTAGTGTATAATGACACTTCATTTGGTATGCCATTAGGATACACAGGATATCTCCGATTACTTCTTTAACAATTTTCATGTCGTCAATATTATAACCTTTTTCTTCTTCTTCTACTGCTTCTTATTCTGCTTTTATAGATCTAATACTGTCTCCATTCTAAAGCTATTTTATACAAGATATTCATCATTCTATTTCTATTTTGCTTAGATTTTATGTTATTTTGTATTTTACCTTTTCTTTGCGATCCATATGGGTCATGTTCTTTTTCTATCTTTGTATTGCTGCTAAGTTTTTTTTATTGTCTTGTTGCGACAGTATTTAGTTTAAAGAAGTTGTCTATAAATAAAGAACGAAGTAAAATAGGAAAGATAATAAAAAGCCTAATAGATTCATATAACTATTCGTATATTTATGTTCCAAAAGTTTACAGTTAAAAATTATTTATTAAAATATATAAAATATTAAAATTTGGCAAAAGCCTACAGACATAAAATTAGATAGATTAAAAGTCTTTATAAGTTACATTCGTTGATAATCCAATCATTGTTTCCCCCACAATATTGATCGTAGGTCGTCCAAGCTTTAAAACCATTACCTTTCAATCTTTGGAATTCGTCGAATATTTTTCTTACGCATTGAACGTCGTCGTGGATATCATCGTCTCTTAAACTGTCACAAGATAAATTACAGCCTTGAGGATGTGCTGGTGGACCACACCTATGAAAGGAAGCAATATTATTAAACTGTTAGTGAAATATGAATTTATGTGCCAAAAAACCACAGAATTACAAATAAATAACAAATAAAACTATTAACACAACTTGGAATATTGTGAGAGCAGACTTGCAGAGCTTCGGTGGGATCCCTAGCGCTGAAGTGGATTATGCCACGAGCGTAAGCCCAAACCAATAGGAGGAGGACAAGGATCTAGGTATACGCCAGTAATATTGGCCGGAAAGCTTCGAACAAGCGCAGTTTGGACATTTGGTGTTCAGATTTTCTGTGCGAATGTTTTATGTTAAATTTTAAATTTAAACTTCCAACCTTATTTTTAGCGATTCTGGTTTTGTTTGTTTTTAAATTGGTTATTTACCGTTAATACGATTTATTATTGGAGTAGGTCTATAGAAATTTCAGTTTTTTGTTGTTTTTCGTAATGTTTATTAATATAAGTAAGGCATTTAGACATTGGGATTAGGATTTTGAACCCTAAGAATTTGGTACATTGTGCTGAATGCAATTTGACCTTTTCCAAAACGTCCAATTTAAGGGCACATGTAAAAATAAAGCATCCAGGTAAGTACCAAATTTCTTTTTTTGATTAGAACATACTGCCGAACCTAACATATTTAGACATTTAAGTTTTTACAAGTTATATATTCTTTAGTAAAAAATTGATATATTAGCACCACAGGTCGAAGATGGACATGGAAGTTTTATATGCGAAGAGTGAAGTGCTACATTTGTAAAGCTTGGTACTTTAAGAATGCGTATGTGATGTATGTTAATAAGTAAATATTCGAAACGCACTCAGGTTGGTTAAATTGTAAGTGACGTGACGAACAGCTGCAAGGAAGAGGAAATAAAACTATTCTGAATCTAGATCCGATGATGGAAAGTGTTTCATTATAACCTACCTAACCTATCCTATGAGCCCGACCACGTGTCATCACATCGTGCCGAAAATCAAATCTGTAACTTCAGTAAGAAATATGTAAATAAAACCCAGTGGGAAGACAAAAGAGTGAATCCAACTCATTCGAAGTCCCAAAACAGACAGTTCAATGGTGAATATGGAAGCAGTTCAGGGTGCAGTAGATGCGAAATGGAGCACAGAGCCAACCCTGCAAAGCATATATAGCTAAGTGTAATTTATGTAATAAGATAGGGCATTATGCAAAAGTATGTTTTCAAAAACAAATAAAATATGTAAATGTAGATGATTCAGAATCAGATGAATTGCTTATAGGTATGGTAAATACCAAAAATGACAATTTTGACAATGATTTCATGATAAATTTTAAAGTTAACAAGCATAAATTAAGCTGTATAGATTGGATACAGGGGCAATGGCAAATGTAATATCAATAAATAAGTTAAATTCTCTAGAAGTTATTGTTGAACTACATAAAACAAATTGCAGGTTAACAACATTTTCGAATGAAACACTTAGAGTCATTGGAAAATTTATTTTAGAATGCAAATATAAAGATAATATGTACCACATAATATTTTAGTGGTAGGGATTAATTCACCAACGGTATTCTTGAACATTGACTTATTTGACAACTTCTGCAATTTGTTCTCTATTTCTACTAGTTGGTATACCATAAACTTCAGCCTTCAAATTAGCTGCAGCTATAACATAATCCAAATGTAGCGGATCATTTACATTAAATGTACGCGCTTCTGGACATCTCTTTGGTCCAGACCAGAACAACTGGCCTGTACTGGTTAATTGATCAGGAGGGAAGTTGAACAACAACTGTCTGATTTGGTTGGAACACTGTTCTTGCCAATGATTACGTGCCCATGCAATGCAATCGTTTAAATCTTTAGGTCTCTCATCAACTAAGGCAGCCTTTACAGATTCTAGTACTTCCAAAGGTTGTACACCAGGTAGTTTGACAGTTCTATCAAGAAAGTCGGGTCTTTTATATACAACGAAGCATTTTCAGCATTTTGTTTAAATAATCCTTCAAACATATCTCTCGCCCATTGTAGAGTATGCTCAATAACATTAGGGAAATTCGTTAAGGTACAGATTGGAATGCTTTCCTCTGGAGGATCTTGAGAAGAACTATATGATTCAGAGAGGAAAGGTGCCACCACTTGAGTGTTTCCCTTAGTTCCTATTTATATTATTATATTAGTCAATTGTCGGACTATATAAGGAAAAGGAGGAGCATATACTCAATACAAAAAAAGAAGTATTGAAAAAATGGGTGGAATACTACAAAGAACTGCTTACTATCAAAGTAGAAGATCCAAATCAACCACCCCACGAGCAAGCAACAATACACCATTGAAGCCTCCATCAATACAAGAAGTACGATATACAATAAAATACCTAAATAGTAATAAATCTCCAGGAAGTGATGGTATACCCGCGGAACTTATTAAATGAGGAGGTGCTATTCTGACTAATCATATATATAAAATCATACTGAGAGCCTGGAATGAGGAACAAATCCCGTAAAAGTGGTGTATTGGGATCGTTTGCCTGCTACACAAAAAGGGTGATTAATTGGAATGTAGAAACTATAGAGAAATAACCCTCCTTAATACAGCATACAAAATATTTTCGAGTATTTTATATAGTCGCCCGAGTGCATATTCAGAGGAGCTTCTTTGCGAATATCATTAGGCCTCGTCGATCAACAACAGACCAGATCTTTGTGCTAAGGCTAATACTGAAAAAAAAAAAACAATGAATTCAATATCGACACGTACCATCTTTTCGTAGATCTTAAATCGGCCTATGAGAGTGTCCTAAGAAATAAATTGTATGAAGCCATAGATAAATTCCACATCCACGATAAACTGATAAGATTGGTTAAGGCTACAAGGCGTAAAGTTGTTTGCAAAGTCGAAATACAGGGTAAACAATCACAGGCTTTTGAAACGCATGTTAGGCTGCGACAGGGAGATGCGCTGGCATGTCTCCTTTTCAACATAGCTCTGGAAAAGGCGGTCAGGGATGCCCAAATAGACAACAGAGGAAACATTTTTAATAAATCATCCCAAATTTTGGCATATGCAGATGATGTTGACATAGTTGTATGCACAACACGCAACACCTTGTCAAATTCCTCAAAAAATATGGTCCTGTAAGTGAATAAGGAGAAAACTAAGATAATGGCTTCAACACTGAACAATAGAGCCGGAAACATCGGCCACCAATTCACTGTTGAGAACCCTACTTTAAGCTCCCTGATCACCAAAGAGAACGTCATGACAGGAGAATTCAAGCGAAGAATAATCCTAGCAAACAAATGCTATATTTTGGATCGAGTAAAAAATAACCATATACAAAACCCTTATACAACCAGTGTTGACATATAGATCGGAGACATGGACCATTTTCAAGGCAGATGAAAACCTCTTGCTTATATTTGAATGAAGGATCCTGAGGAGAATATTCGGTGGCATCTGTGAAATTGTGTTTGGAGAAGGAGGTACAACTAAAGTATATTCACAGATATAAATATATATTTGGTGGTAAAGAGAAGTAGTACCTCTTGTAAAAAATACGAAGAGTAAGATGTGCAGGACATCTGCGAAGATCACAGCAGAACAGATAGGATCCTAGAAGAATCCTTATGTCACAACTTGTGTAAAATAGAAGTAGGGGTAGGCCAAAACTCAGATGGAGGGATGGTGTAGATGGTAGAGCATGGTAGAAGAAATAGTGGCAGCAAACTGACAACAGTTGGCAATGGATAGAACTGACTGGCGTAATAGACTTGGAAGGTCGAGGCTCTTTTATATGGATGTAGCAACCAATGACGATGATGATGACAAATGTTAAGAAATGTGGCTGTCATTTGAAAATCTATTAAAAACTTATGTAAATGTAAGGTGGACCATTTTTGAACATTTACTTTAGACTTATTTTCCTTAATATCACATTAATTGTTACATTCTATTACATATTATGGTTTATTTTTTTTGTTAGTAACTTATTGAATAAAAATAATTTTGTTATATTATCACTCAATACTTATTTCTACTTACAAAAATTGAATGTATTCCCGAGATTTGAGGAAAACTAAAAATATCTCTGAAAATAATAGGTTTAGGTATAGGAAATTGCTATATTCGGTGCAAGATGTTGTATAACACTACGGAATCATGTTGAAATATCGGGACTTGCGATCTAAGGCTTATAATAAAGCTACATTTATTAATTAACTTACCAATATATCTGAGAAATCTGAAACAGGCCGTTATCATGAGATTGGGTATTTATGGCAGCAGTATTAAATTGTGATTCATGCTGGACAATGCAAATCCAAGTTGGGATTTGCCAACGAGGAAATTTGTAATCGTAAAGTAATTCCCTTGCTAAAGTACATTTATCGTAAACTCTGCAGTATGCTAAAGGAAGAACTAATAATAGTAATGCTGCTTTTGTGGACCATTTTGTAGTATGTACCTGAAACATATTAGCGAAATTACCTAATTGGAAGACGATTCTACAAACCAAATTACCAAACAATAAAAATGTTTATTGATATTGTTTAAATATTTTATATTTTTGACGACGCTCTAAAACTGTTTCAGAAATTTAAGACTACTTGAGAAAGCATATGATAGAGTTCATCGAGAGATTTTGCATTTGAATCTGTATTTTTTTATAAAAATTAATTATCTATGCATTCAGAATCATCTTGTGGCAAATATTCGTCTATAAAACTCATATGAACAAGAAAAATGTCTAGATAGACAAAAACATAACTTACAATAATTACTCCTACCTAACTATACACGGTAAGCCACATGCAACACGTCCTATCTTTCCCACGTCAGCTTGTATAGTGCACTCATAGGGCATGGAATAGTTGTGGACTGGTGAGCGAAACATAATATTTATGACAATTTTACAAACTACTATATACATATTGTAGTGGATGGATATACAGTGGAACTCGCTTATTACGGCCTCGGTAGTTACGTCATCTCGGTTATAACGTCAATTTTTAATAGGTCCGGTCAAAAACTATTCCATAACATTCCTTTTTTTTATTTTATGAAGAATAAAGTGCAATGCGTTTCTGGCTTTGCGGCATTTGTTCCTTCCAAGAATGTAAGAAAGGTCCATTATCCCTTCTGTGTACAGTTATGTTACCCTGACAATCTATAATTTCGCATTTATCAGTGCCGTCCTAACACTCCTGACAGTCAAATTTTCTGTTTCGGAACAGTCGGTTTAAGAAATTTTCGCTACCGTGAAATTGTGTTCGGATCGTTTTTGTTTTTTTTTTATTTTAATTTGGTAATTAGCTTTTATTTTTTAATATGGCAAGTTGTAGCACTAAAAGGAAGGTTTTGCCTATTAAAGAAAAAGTGCGTGTTATAAGAGCATTTGAAAGTGGTCGAAAAATTGCTGATGTATGCCGGCAATTTGGACTTGTTAATTCGACTGTCGGCTCAATCATAAAAAACAAGGACAAAATTTTAAAAGCCTTTAAAGAGGACGGAAACAATGTTAAAAAGATTAGGAAGTGCATTCGTGGTGATGTAGATTCAGCTCTACTCAAATGGTTCAAGCAGTGTCGCAGTTCTGATATCCCTGTGTCCGGGCCACTTTTAAAGGAGAAAGCTACAGAGTTCGGAAAATTGTTTGGTGAAGATTTCACATGCTCTAACGGTTGGTTAGATCGGTTTAAAGCCAGGCACTCAATTTCCTTCTCGAAAATTGTTGGAGAGGCAAAATGTGTGGACGAGAACGTAACAAGTGACTGGTTACAAAACACATGGCCAAAATAAAAGGCAACCATTCAAAGATGAAGATATCTTTAATGGTGACGAGACAGGTGTCTTTTATAAATTAACGCCAGACAAAACTTTAAATTTCAAAAATCAAAAATGTGTCGGTGGAAAACTTTCCAAGCAAAGAGTGACGGCTTTTGTTTGTGCAAATATGACAGGTACAGAGAAAAGAAAGCTTTTGGTTATTGGGAAAAGTTTACATCCTAGATGTTTCAAAAACATTAAAACACTACCTGTAAACTACACAGCAATAAAAAAGCATGGATGACTTCTGCTATTTTTGAAGAAGAATTGAGAAAGTGGGACAAGGAACTCTTTCAAAAAAAGAAAATTCTTCTCCTAGTTGACAACTGTGCAGCAAATCCTAAACTTAATTTGACCAATATAAATCTAGTGTTCTTACCAGCCAACTGCACGAGTGTCTTGCAGCCTATGGACCAGGGAGTCATAAGAAGTTTAAAGTGCCATTATCGAAAACAGTTATCGAAAACAGCTTTTAAAAAGAATGATTTTTTGTATGGATAATGGAGAACCTGTGAACATTACCATCCTGGATGCTGTTCAGTTTTTAGACAATGCGTGGAGTGCAGTTACGTCAGTGACAATTCATAAGTGTTTTCGTCAAGCAAAATTGACTGTAGCTTCTCTCAGTGTTGAGGACGTTGATAAAGATGACGAAATGCCTTTGTCAAAGTGGATACAAAAATTTAATGTGAATCAGGGAGCGTTCGGAACTGATCTTGACTCCTACATTTCAGTAGACGATGAGGTGGAAACATTTCAAGTCCTAAGTGATAAAAAAATTGTTGAACTGGTGCAAAACGTGGAAATGGATGTCGATGAAGCTGAAGAAGAAGAAGACATCGTTGTTTGTCCTACAATCCAAGAAGCAATGAGAGCTGCTGAGACCATATCCAGGTTTTACCAGTTCAGGGAGGCATCCACAAATACCAAAGAAGCAGCTCAGCTCATTAAGGAAACAACAGAAAAACTTTATTTTTCGGAAAGAGTTGTGCAAAAGAAAATAACAGACTTTTTCAGCAATAGAACTTTTTTACACAATGTAAGTTTCATATACATACATAATATGTTTTGTTTTTTAATTGTTTTTTATCCTAAAATGATTCTTGTTTTTTTTTTTTAAATTTGACTTAAGTAAATGTTATATTTTCGGTATATCGTAAACTATGTTAAATTATCATGTTTAGGCCCAGAGTAATTAACAAATAATATATCTACTACATATACCCAATAATGCTGTAATAATATTTTCCCTCATTAAAATTTTATTTTTCTCAACCTCTTTTTTAACGTCACTCTGATATGGCGTCATTTTTTTATTGCACCCTTCAATGACGCTATAACCAAGTTCCACTGTACTACTATATAAATATTGAAGAGTGGATGGATATGTGGGGGAATATGGTCTAGGAAATAGAAATGAACGTGGTGACCATTTGATACAATTTTGCCAGACGGAAGAAGATTGTATACATGGAAATCTCCCTGTGATACAACGAATAGAATAATCCGAAATCAAATCGTCTTTGTCCCCATTAGACAAAGATTTCCTAATTCTATACTGTCTGCAAAAACTTACCCTGGAGCAGACATCGGTTTAGACCATAACCCCATAGTAGTCACATTACACTAAATTAAAACTGGTTAAAAAACCCACACAAAGTAGAATTGCTATAAAGGGGTTAGGGAGCCACAAACAAAGGAACAAACTGTAAAAACTCTTACTGAAAATCTACGTTATGTCCAAGAACTGAATAAAAGTAGCTATAATTAAAACAGCAAAAGAAAACTTAAAACCAAAGAAACGAAAACATAAAGACTGGATGACTGAAGAAATGCTACTATTATTGAATGAAAGAAAATCATTTAAACAAAAAATCCAATTAAATATAATGAAACTGATCGATTAATTAAAAAGCGAATAAAAAAAGCTAAGGAGAGAATATTACATAAGCAGTGCCAAGAACTCGAAGATATTGAGAAAAATTATCACTTTTTTAACATGCTAAAAGAATTAGAGAATTAACAGGAATGAGAGAAACACTTCAAACTAGCAACTAAGAGATGAAAGTGGTGCACTTATAACAGATATAATCCAAAAAATGCAGAGATGAACACAATATATAGCACAATTTTTTGAAGACAAAGAGAGAACAGAAGCGCCAAAAGAATTTAAGGATGATACTGGCCCTGACATTATACGAGAAGAAATTGAATATACAATGAAACAAGCTAAAGGTGGTAAATCTCCCGGGCCTGATGAAGTTCCTATCGAATTACTTAAAATTGTGAATACTAAACCTATTGATCTTCTTTTGGATCTATTCAATACCATATATCGAACAGGTATAATACCCAAATAATGGCTCCAATCAACATTCATACTGCTTTCCAAAAAAGCCAATGCAAAGGAGTGCAATGACCATCGAACCATAGCCTTAATGAGTCATGTCTTCAAATTGTTTTTAAAAGTAATTCACGATAGAAAACATAAGAAATTAGATGAAGGCATAAGTAATACACAAATGGAATTTAGGAAAGGATTGGGAACCCGAGATGCACTGTCTGCAGTTAGTAAGTGTTCTTTCGCAGAGATGCTTAGATATTATTCAGGAAGTATATGCCTGTTTCATTGATTTTGAGAAGGCATTTGACAGAGTATAGCATAATCGGCCTTAAAGAAATTTTAATGAATAAAAACATAGACAAAGACAATAGAATAGAATAGAATCATATGTCACCTCTATTGGAACCAAACAGCAAAAGTGAAAGTTGAAAATGAACTGACCGAGGATATCCAGATTTTCCGTAAAGGTGTATTTTATCACCCCTGTTGTTCAGTTTATAAAGTGAAGCAGTCTCAGAATTACTGCTTGCCGAGGTCAGTGAGGGCCTTATAATAAACGGTGAGCCACTTAATAACATAAGATATGTTGACGACACCGTCCTTCTAGCAGGAACACTAGAAGAGCTGCAACACCTTGCTGCACAGCTAAATATATATTGCAAAGATTATGGACTAAAAATAAATTTGAAGAAAACCAAGTTCATGGTATTTACAAAAGCACAAAATATCAAAGTTAAGCTAGTACTAGATAATACAGAAATTGAACAAATATCTTCGTACAAATACCTTGGAGCATGGATCACAGAAGATACTGATCAGACAAAAGAGATAAGATGCCGCATTGAAATTGCACGGTCAGCTTTTAATAGAATGAGAAAACTTATTTGTAATCGCGATATCAATATATCGCTCCGGATAAGAATCCTTCGAGGTTATATTTTCTCTACCCTTATGTATGGGTTGAAGCTTAGACACTTAAACATAAAACATTAAAAACCTAGAAGCATTCGAAATGTGGTATTTTGAAAATATCATGGATGGATCGCAAAACAAACGGACAAGTTCTCGAACAACTAGGAAAACAATGCGAAGTTTTCATTCCTTAAAAATCAGAAAATTTGAATACTTGGGGCACATCATGAGAGGTGAAAAATACGAACTACTAAGGAATATATTGCAGGGTAAAATCAAAGGCAGAAGAAGCATAGGAAGACGTAAAATCTCGTGGCTACGCAATCTCCGTGAATGGTTTGGATGCAGTTCAATTAAACTATTCAGGCGCGTTACCAATAAAATTATAATAG